GCCACTTTAAAATAAATTTTTTCTTCTATTTTCTAGTCTATTTGTCTACAGGCACGACAGCAAAAACTATTTTTTATTTTTTATTTTTTGTTTTCCCACCGCGAACGAAAAAGTTTTTGTCATTTTTTTAAAATCCCAAAAAAACGAGAGGTGTAAACCTTTTATTTCGTACGCTTACTGTTAAAATACTAATAATAATAATAAAACAAAATGCCTATTTACACGTCGGAAACGAAGGCGAACGTGTCGAGAAAAATTTAAATAAAAGAAATAAGGATGTGAAAAATTTTCAATTTTGTTCTTATTACACGTGTATCCAAAAAAAAAAAAATTCACGTTTGAGCTGGTTAGTTTTTTCCCGCTTTTTTATTATTATTATTATCATTTAAAAATAATATTTCGCAAAAAATTTATTGTCTGCTGACACGTTGCCGTCGCGATTTACGTCATCAACATCGTCATCATTAAATTATTATTATACGGGATTAACGTTTTTTATCTTTCTGTCTCGATCGGTTTATCTTTTTTTTTTTTTGTGAAGAAAGAAGAGAGATTTGAGAGAGAGAGAGAGAGGGGGGAAAGGTCAAGGTCGAATGAGTGAAATATTTGATTGAATTTATATTGAATTGAAAATTAAAAAAAAAAAAAAAAAACAATAAAGGGATTGTTAGATTGATTGAAATCACATGGATAAAAATTTTTCTCCATTTTTAAAAATTTATGACGTGATTATCGTTTGTTTTTCCGACAAAATAATTAAACAACCGACCGGAAGTTGGTTGTTTTCTGTCGAGAGGAAAAAAAAAATGAAGGAAATTATTCTTCGGAAAAACGTCAATGCGAAACCAATAAAAAAGCCAACTCGTTTTTTACTTTCCGTGCATTTGTTTTATCTTTCGCGCCTTTTTTCATTTTCGAATTAACCGTTTCCGGTTATGTTGGCAAACGTTCTTCTTTTTTCTCCGGAATGCAGGTAAATAGTCGTTTTGCTGTCGCGCACACCACGTATTACGAAAAAATGTAAAATTGCGTAACTTTTCATCATCATGTTGAACTTATAATTATTAAAAAATGATAACCGGAGGGTTACGACTTCTACGTGTTAAACACGTGCAAGTTTTTAAAAGGGAGGGGGAGTAGATTAAATCTACTTTCTAAAAAAAAGAAAAAAAATTTTTTTTTTTTTGGTGTTTCGAACGTTTAACGAAAGTCTCTCTCTTTCTCTCTGTTTTTCTCTCTTTCTCTCTCTTTTTCTCTATTTCTTTCTCTCTCTCTCTTTTTCTCTCTTTCTCTCTCTTTTTCTCTATTTCTTTCTCTCTCTCAGGTGGTTGGTTCATCGACACCACGTTCGAATTTTTTTTTTTTTCCTACAACTTGACGTTTTACCACATATACTCTTGCGTCACTTTCTCTTTGGTGGTGGTGGTACATTATTTGCACATTTCGAACGGAAATTAATAATAATTTGAGAGATTTTTTGAACGAACGTGTGAAAATGTGACGTCGTAACAATAATAATAATAATAATAATAATAATAATAATATTAACTAAAATTTTAATTTTATTATTATCGTATACGAATCCGTGCCAAAAGAAAAAGAAAACTTTCCACCCACAAATTAATTTTTGTTTAATTGTTTTTTTTTTTTTTAAATCGATATTTTATATCGAACGGATATCGAAATCGATATATATCAAGAAAAAATCGAAGGTTTAATTATTTTAATAAAAATTTTCCCTTCGACGTATTCGCGGTATACAAAAAAAACGATTTTGCCGCCATTTTGACATTTTAAAAAATTTAAAACGAGGACAAAAAAAATTAGAAATAGATGAAGTGACCCCAAAAAAAAAAATTGCAAAGAATTTTCTCGAAACCAGTAACAAACAGTAAAAGAAAAAAGAAAAAAAGAAATTTTTTCCCTTTCGATTCGAAAAAAAAAGGGACAAAAGAAATTGTGGGGGGAAGGTTTTCTTTAACCCCCGTTCCTCTCTTGATATTGATTTTTTACCTCCCCCAATTTGAAATTTTATATATAAATACGTAAGGGTGAAAATTTTAGGGGAAGAAAAACTTCATCACAGGGTGTTTCAAAACAATCGTTATTTTTCTTTTTTGTTTTCTATGAATGAATTTCTGTTTTTTTATTATTTTTTCGTCCTTGAAAATTTCATAGAGTGTTTAAACGATAAATCTTATCTTAAATACCTTTTAATACTACTCGATAAATGTTGGCAACAAGACTAAACAAATCTTTTGTTACGTTCGTTAGTTTTTCTTTTGCGTGCCATCTTTTTTTTTTTTTTTCTTACTGTCGTCTGCTGTGTTTTTTTTTACTCTATGGTTTGTTTAACGGTGATTTACACCGATCGTTAAATTTTTTTTATCTTATCGTAAAAAATTATCGATTACCTCAACTCAGGAACTTATAAAAAAAAATTATTTTTTATATTCAACAAGTGTTGAATCAAAAATGATATTTAAATAATATTAAAAAAATTTGTTTGTTGTTTGTTATTCAATTCGTCGTGGCATTAAAATAAGATTAGAACAACGGGGGGGGGGAGGAAAAAAATTTAAATAAATAAAAATATTATCATCACGGTAACAAACGCGATGTTTATACTTTTTTTTTTGTTTTAAATTAAGTGAAAATCGTAGCGTGAAAAATCGATAAACGAAAGCAAAACAAACAAAAGAAAGCAAAAATAAACGAAAACAAAAACAAACGAATCCGATTTCCCGGTTTTTTTTTAAAATTTGTTATATCGGTCGATAATTTTTGATTCACTTTTTTTTCGAAGTTACGAAAAATTCTCACGCTTAAATTTTAAATTTTTTTTTTTTTTTTTTTTTTAGAGTGAACGACAGCAAAAAATAAAAACAACATAAACGTTGACGATATTTTATTATTATTATTATTTTTATTATTATTTTTCTGGCACGATATTTTAAAATCCCTCACATAAATTAATTCTCGAAGGAAATAAAAAAAAAAAATTTTTTTTATATATGAGAATCGCCCCCGTATTTTATTATTATTATTTTTTTTTTTGTACGAACAACCTACAACAACCAACAACAACCAACAATATTTTGCACAAATGGAATATTTATAGAAAATTATTTTCGAATGGAAGATTTAAAAAAAAAAAAAAAAGAAAAAAGAATTTTAGCAATTCAATTAGTTTTTTTTTTATTTAGTTCGAAGTTCGCGTTTGTTATCCGACGAGTTTTATGTGAAAAAAAAAAAACGTTCGGTTTTTTAAACGGAAGCCATTTTAGTTCGCGAACGGGGGAAAATTTTTTTTTATTTTTAAATTTAACGGTTTTTTCGAACCTTTTCCGTTATTCGTAACGATTTTATTCGATAATTTAAATTGCAAACATTTTGTAAATTTTTGCTTTTTGCTATTGTTAACTTATTGCTTTGTTTGTTTGTTGTTGTTGTTTGTTATTCAATTCGCCGTGTTTAATTTAAATTTTTTTTGCTATAATTTATGATTATTTTTTGCTGTAATTTACGAATTTTTCTTTTTTTTTGTTGGATTCATCTATTTTTCTTCCTTCGGTTTTTGTTTTTAGTAAAATAAAAATAGGAAAAATGGATTTATCGAATCGATAACGGCGATATATCGAAAATGTGTTTTTTTTTTTTTAAAACAAAATGACGTCAAAATTTAAATTTATTGATTTTATTATTGATTGATCGATCGATCGATCGTTTTTTTCGTATGGGTTTTACATTTTATTTTTTTTTTAACTTTTATCCATTTTTTTTTTTTTTTTAAAGAGTCGACATTATTTTTTTTGTCGAATATTTACAAAAAAAAAAAAAAAAGGATACCGGATGTTCTTATTCGTTAATTTAAAATTTAAAAATATTTAAATTTATTCACGGGTTATTTTAATTTATTTTTTTTATTTTATTTTTTTCAAAGTAAAACATGTTTTGTTTTAACCGGAAGACTTTGAAAATTTCTTTTTTTTTTTTCCTCTCTTTCGATCTTACACGTTTCGATATTATTTTACGTATACGATACGATATTTCGATATGAGAAATCGAAATAATGACGTGTACTTTTTGATTTTTTAAAAAAGAATTTTTTTTGCGGTTTTTCTGATTTTTTTTTTTTTTTTTAATGTGAAAAATGAGAAAGTCAGGTACGAATTTAAGAAAAATTGACGTAAAAATTTGTTGAGGTTGCTTCTGCTGTCACTGCTGCTGTTTGTTGTTGTTGTTGTTGTTACTGTTGCTCTTCTTCTTCTTTTTATTTCGTCTGAGGGTGTTTTAAACTTTCCAACCAATAATTTTGTTAACAACGAACTTGGCCTTTAAAAACAACGAAAAAAAAAAAAATGGTTTTTTAAAATTTTCGATTTCGCATTAATGAACGTGTCACGAGTGAGTTGGTGACACGTCACATTTTTTAACCAGTTAAAAAATGTAAAAAAAATTTCATTTCACGTCTCGTCGTCATTTTGTTTATGCGAAATGGGTTTTTTTTTTTTTTTTTTTTATTTTGTGGCAGATTTTTCACGAAATCATATTCATGCCTCATTAAACAACAACTTCGACGTAAGATAAATTGCAATGAGAGAGAGAGAGAGAGAGAGTGAGAGAGAAGGATATTATATTGTTTGTTCTTAACAGGAACATTATTCAGTTGTTCAAATGTTACGCTGCGAACGTATAAATTTTACGCATTTTTTATAAAAAAAAAAAAAAAAAGGAAAATTATCGAATAATCGTGTGAGAGTGGGTGTTTGTTTGGTTGTTTGTTTTCACGTTTTGTTTTTTGTTTTGAAATCGTTTCGAATTGGGAAAATCCAAAAATAAAAAAATAAAATTCTCAATATTTTAATTATTGTTATTTTTTCGTTTTAAAAAATTTTTTGAAATTAATTTGTCACGAAAATTATTGTAACAAACATCGCGAAAACAAACAAACAAACAAAGAAAATATTTAATATAAATTTTCCCGAAGGAAATCAATAATGGCGGAAAAAGTTGAAAGTGTTTCGGAAAATCCCGCGGAAAAAGTGGAAAATGAAACAGAAGAAGAGGTAGGGATTTAATAAAAATGGATTTGTTGTTTTTTTTTTTTTTTTTTACTAGCGATGACGTTTGTTCGTTTGTTTGTCGTTTGTTTGTCGTTTGTTTTATGGAAAATACATTCGAAAAAAATCTGTTGAGAAGTATGATTAATTAAGGAAAATATCCGCAACGGAAACTTTTTTTTTTAAACGGAAAAAGCCAAAAAAAAATTAATTCCGGTTGTTAATAAGATGATGATGATAAAATTACTACCTCTATCATCATCATCATCATTATTATTATTATTATTATTGTTTCCGAAAAAAAAACAAAAACTTTCTAAATTTTTTTTGTTGTTATTATTAATTGTTAAAGAATCGCCTTTGGCCGATCATCAAGTTTGTTTTCTCCAGTTTATTATTATCATTATTATTATTAAATTCCATGGAATTTTTTTTTCTTTTTTATTAAATTTTTTAATCAAACAAACTCTTGAAAAAAAAAATTTGTTATTGTTGATGTTGTTGAACAAACGCAAACAAACCTCACAAAATTTGTTTTTCTTTTTAATAAATGACACGTTTTTGTTTTTTTTAGGATCCCAGCGTTCATACTTTGGCTCCAATAACAATATTAGCCAATTACGAAAAGCCTAAAAATGGCGGAACAAAAACGGAAATGGATGATTTCGTACGAGCAAAGTGAGTACTCAATAAAATTATTATTATTATTATTATTAGTGTTTTTCTTTCGAATGAAAATGAAGATGAAGAAGAAGAGAAAACGAGGATTTTTCTTAACCTTAAAAAAAAAAAAAATTTTTTTTTCTTCTTTTTCTCTCATTAAGATAAAAATTTTTTTTTTTTAAGGCCACAACCGGGTAATTAATTGCTTGGCTGCGAGTTAGACGATTTCCATTTACACTTTTGCTAAAAGTCGAAGATGCAATAAAGATTATTATTATTATTTTTCTTTTAAAATTTCAAATACCAATCGAAGTAGAGCAAATCGATTATTATTTTGTTTTCCGCAATAAATCTTTGGAAAAAAAAATTTATCTTTGATGGAGTTAGAAGAAAAAGTGTAATTTTTGCTGTCTTTAATATTTGCGGAAAAAAAAAAATTTTTTTTGATGATAATTATATAATTTAAAACCGGAAACGTTGCGTCGCGAATTTTTTTTTTTTTAAATATTATTTGCTATTATCACGCGTAATGATTTGAAGAGAGGATGGGTAGGGGGTGGGGGAAAAGGACAACAACGTTAATTTAAAATTAATTAATTAATTTTTGCTATCGTCAGGTTTAAAAGTCAACAACACGGAGAATTTTCATCCGTTATAACGAACGGATCTACGACTCCATTGGTTAGAGAAAATGTCGTCGATGAAGAATCCGGTTATAATCCGTTCGTTCACAGGAAGTTGGATCATCCAATGTCGTAAGTTAAATTTCTCTTATAAAAAAATTTTTAAAATGGTCGTCAGGTTCGAAAACGTTAAAAAAAAAAAAAAACAATTTTTTATTCTGCATAATTTTTTTAAGTGTTGGCACAACCCTCCGGCGATAAACATTAAACCGTCGATACTCGTTTTATTAAAATATATTATTATTATTATTATGATTTCAGAAACATTGACACGCTCATACACCTTTTAAAAGGTTCTTTAGGCTCTGGTATATTAGCCATGCCTTTAGCTTTTGCAAATGCCGGACTTTTCTTTGGAGTTTTTGCCACGATATTAGTCGGAGCCATTTGTACCTATTGCGTACACATGTTGGTCACGTGTGCTCACACGTTGTACAGACGTATGAAGTAAGTATCGAATTCGGAGTGTCTCTGTACGAAAAAAAAAAAAAAATCTTTTTACTGATGATTTTTTTCTTTTACTCCCGTACAGAGTACCGACATTGGATTATTCGGGAGTTGCCGAAGCATCCTTTCTCCTGGGTCCTCAACCCGTGCGGAAGTATCGACGGTTAGCAAAAGCTTGCATAGATACATTTCTCTTCATAGATTTGTACGGATGTTGTTGCGTTTATGTCGTTTTCGTTGCAAGGAATCTTAAACAGGTAACGAGTTAAATCCTTTTAACCATTCCAATCCGGAGTTGATCGGTCCTCCTTTTCTCTCTCTCTCTCTCTCTCTCTCTCATCATTTTTTCCTTTACGTGCCACTGCTGCTGAGAGTAAGGGATTTCGTAAGGAAAAGAAATTTGTTGTTTTTTTAACATTGTTGAAAGTTCAAAAGTTTAAATTTTTCATTTCGAAATGATCGCGTAAAGGTTTAGAGATGGTCGTGGAAAAAGAAAAATTTGAAATTAAAATGCGAGTCATTATCATCATCATCATTCAAATCATCAATAGCGGAGTTGCCGAAGTAAATAGTAAACGAACGACCCGACCGGTAAAAATAGGTCGAGGTGATCCTGTAGTAGTACGTCAATCCCGTTGGCCATTCAAATCGGTTTTAATTTTCACGTGTAAACCAACCTATCATCATTATTATTATCATCATCCTTGAATTTTCTTATGCGAAGGGGAAGGATGAAAGGATTGTCTGAGTATTCGAAAAAAAAAAAAAAAACTACTTTCGATTAAATTTTTCGACCTTGAATTTATTTTTACCACTGAAAGCGAGTTGTTTGTTATTGTTGTTGTTGTTGTCGTTACCAAGGCTGTGCCAGTTAGGTATACTAACATCAAAACCTTGAACATCCTTGAAATAACATTTGAAAAAAAAAATTTTTTATTTTTATTTTTAACGCAGGACCAGTTTTCAATGTTTATACGGTTTTCTTATTTTTTTATTTTTTATTTTTTGTAATTATTCAAATTCTCTTTTAATTTTAATTTTTTTTTTGGGGGGGGCGACAGGAGGGGGAAATCTTTATTCGTGAACACGTTAAATTCCGTTATTATCATCATCATCATTTCCATTGTATTCAATGACTTTTTGATGTTAGACTAATTAAATTCAAATTTTTTTTTAAAATGATAATTAACAAGTTCTTGACTTTTATTGTCAAATTGTTTATAATTTGTTGTTTTTTTGTTGTTTAATTAATTAATCATTTTTTCCCTCATTCGTATTAATTTTATTCTTCGAAATGATTCAAAATTTTTAATTAATTTTTATAATATTTGATACTGTTTGTTTGTTTGTTGTTGTTGTTGTTGTCGTTGTCGTCGTTGTACGAATAATATTTTTAAAAGTTATGTAATCTCAATTAATTTATATCAGTTTTTTTGCACCGTTTTTGCACTTGCTGTTATTACTTTTATTATTATTATTATTATTATTATTTAAAACGATTGTTTTTCCGGGGTTGTAACGATGATGAGAATGATGGATCGGCGGAGGGGGGAAACGTGTGAGAACAAACGTTTCAACTCGACATTGAGAATTTTTAGTTTTCTATATATACGTCACCGATTCGTAATGTTTTTATTTTTTTTGGAGATCATTTTCTAATCTTAATCGTTTGTAATTACGTCACGATTGATAACACTTCCTCCCCTTTCTCCCTTTTACGGGGGGAGGGGTGGAAGGGGAAAGAAATGTTTGTACAGAGCACGATTGTGCGATTGGATACAAATCGTCACATTGTTTGTGGTGACTCGAATGAGAAAATGAGTGTTTATTATTTACCTTTATAATTTTCTTAACTCTCAGCAAGAGGCGCTACCACCCCCTTTTTTCTGATGACGTCATTTCCTTTACGTAAACCCCGTCGCATTATGTAAAAAAAAAAAAAAAAAAAAAAGCCTAAATTTTTCTAAATCCTCTTCAAAAACAAAAAATCTCATATTGGTAGTGACAAAAAACAAATTTTTATTATTATTATTATTTTCATTTTTTTTTTTTTTTTAAATTTAATATGTTGGCATCCTGTATTGATGACTGATCCAGTAAAAAAATGTTTATTAGATATTTGTCGAATTATCTGGAATTCTTTTGCAGATAAATTTGCTGATCGATAATTGAAGGAGTTCAGCTTTAAGTAAAAAAATAAAAAAATTAAAAATGACGTTTTCCCTGCCTTTTTTTGTCGCGTGTACGTGCGTGTAAAATCAAAAAAAAAAAAGTCGGGGAACCTTTTAACCTTCTGGACTGAAATCGACCATCGACTCGGATGATTTTATTACTCTTTTATTTTTTAGGTACATACTAATAAAATTCTAAAAATCGTTCCTCTTCTCTAACGAGAGAGGTTCGCATACAAAAAAAACCTATTCGTATTATTATTATTATTATTATCATTACGTAAATAAATACGTTTATTTTGGTTGTTGTTGATGTTGATGATGATGATGTTGATTGATTTGAAAACGTGACGTTTGTACAATTCATAATTTTTTTATTTTTATTTTTTCTTTTTTTCTTTTTTTTTTTTTAAAAAAATTGTCGTAAATTATCGACGGTGTCGCAACAAACACAGGTTGTGGATCATCATTTGGAAATCGATTACGATGTACGTTTATACATGGCCATGCTTCTTATACCATTGATACTAACGAATTTGATACACAATCTCAAATGGTTGGCACCATTTTCAATGATAGCCAACATATTAATGGCGGTCGGAATCGGTATCAGTTTCTACTACGTATTTAACGATTTACCACACGTCACGGAAAGAAAATATTTTTCGAGTTTTCAACAATTGCCATTGTTTTTTGGTACCGCCATATTTGCTCTTGAAGGAATCGGTGTGGTAAGTTTTTTTCATATTAAATTTAACCGTTATTTTTTTTTAAATTCATCGTCGTCGTCTGCGTCGTCTGCATCGTCGCAATCTGCGACGGATTATTATTATGTTTGTTACGTTTAAAAAAAAAAAAATTAGAAAGAATAAAAACGAATCTTTACCGTAAATTTAAATTTAAATTTTAAAAAAATTCTTTTTTGATTGTTTTTATTATTATTATTATTATTATTGAAATTAATGTGTTAATTGATGCTTTTTTGCTTTATGTTCCATCGCTTGTTTAAACATAATTATGTTGTCATTAAAAAAATGATTAAAATGCGAATCAAATATGGAGGTTGTGTTGTTTATAAGTAACTACAAGAATTTTAGGTAACTGAATAGGAGGAATAAGAGAGGTAGTATTCCTCGAGGAAAGAAAGGTAAATATTACAAAATTTATTTTTGTAATAAATAAATAAATAAATAAAATTCTTTCTCTCTCTCTCTCTCTCACCCTCTTTTTTTACGCGATCGACGTGGTTTTAGAATATAGAAATGAGTCTACAAGAGATAGAAACGGGGGGAAAAATAAAATTCCAAGTTTATTAAGTAAGAATGAGGAGGGGAGGGGAGGGGGGGAAATGATTGTTGAATTTTTTTTCTTTTTTACACTATGAAAAAATTATTTCTTTCTCCTGCCACGATTGCAATCACTTAAAAAAAAAGAGGGGAAATTTTTCCAGGTTTAGGTTTAAATTTTGCAAAAAAAAAAAAAAATTGCGGGGATTTTTTAAAAAATTGTTTTAACAGGAAATATTATTATAAAATCGAAAAACCGGAAGTTTTAATTTTTTAACTGTTTGTCCTTTTCGTTGCCCCCCCCCCCCAAATTAATAACGGATTAATTGTATGATGGACGCGAAAAAAAAAAAAAAAATTAATTTAATCGCGTCGCGTTACTTTTTTTTTTTTTTTTTTTATCGTTGTTATTGTTATTGTTGTTATTGGTACTGTTGAAATTTTAACGTGTCACTAAAGATTAATAAAATTTGATTTCACGATAGGTAATGCCACTGGAAAACAACATGAAAACACCGCAAAAATTCATAGGATGTCCAGGAGTATTAAATATTGGTATGACTGTCGTCGTTATATTATATACGGCCGTTGGATTTTTCGGTTATTTAAAATTTGGAGAAGATACTCAAGCTTCAATAACGTTAAACTTGCCCAAAGATGAATTGTGAGTACATTTCCTTATCATTATTATTATCATTATTATTATTATTTTTCTAGAACATTTTTCTTATATTTTTTTCAATTTATAGGTTGGCACAATCCGTTAAAGTAATGATAGCAGTCACCATTTTCTTAACGTACAGTTTACAATTTTACGTTCCCATGGGAATAATTTGGAAAGGTTGTAAACATTGGTTTCCAAAAAATGAAGTTCCAGCCGAATATTGCATCAGAATATTTTTAGTTATTTTATCGGGTTCGTATTGAACGATTAAAAACTCCAGTTGTCAATCGGATGTCACACGTCATCGATTATTAATTTGAATTTTATTTTTTTAATAGTTGGCATTGCTGCAGCCGTACCAAATCTCGGACCTTTTATATCTCTCGTCGGTGCCATGTGCCTTTCAACACTAGGATTGATATTTCCAGCGGTTATTGAATTGGTTACGTTTTGGGAAAAACCCGGAATGGGAAAATTCTACTGGAGAATATGGAAAAATATTTTTCTCATGCTTTTTGGAATTTTGGGTTTTGCAACTGGTACAATATCAAGTTTACAAGAAATTATGGAAACATTTAACAGCGAATGAAAAAACGATCGGAACGATTAAACAGAAAAAAACACCAACGTAACAATATCTTTAACCGGAAATAGATGGAAAATTCGTTATTTCCGTTCGTATTTTTTCTTAAATCGCATATTAAAACAAACGCCGTAGATTCACGCCTTAAACTAATTTTTTATCTTTTTTTTTTTTTTTTTAATTGTAATTTCGCGACCCACGAAAAAAAAAAAATCGGAAGTTAAAAGAGAAAAATGCTCAAAAATCAATATGGCGTCGAAAAACGTTATTGTCAAAGCGAAAAAAAAAAAAAATTTCTATTTCTATTGTTCTATTCGAAATGATTGACGGTTTCGCAAATTAAAAAAAAAAAAAAAAAAAAAAAAAAGCCTTTTTCAAAGGCTTCAGGAAGTTAAAAGTAAAACCGGAAGTCGAAAGAATTTTATATATATATATATATATATATATATATATATATATATATATATAAATATTTTTATTTTATTTTTATTTTTTTTTGTCGAGTAAATGTAAGATAGTTAGTTAGTCTCTGTACCTGTGATATTTTAACTCAGTGAGTTGTTAAAAAAAAAAAATATTTTAATTATAATTATTATTATTATTATTATTATTTTCATCATCATCATCATCATCAGCATCATCACGATCATTATTTTTACCGTGTGATTATTTATAATCATCGTTATTATTATTATTAAAATTAAATCGTTGAAATAAATTGGGTACGTGACGAGTAACAACATGTCGCGATTTGTTTTTTTTTTTTTTTTTTTTTAATTTCTAACGACATCATCGTGTGTTTTATATGTTTATCAATCAATCTATGAATCTCGATAATTAAATCAATCAATCAATCAATCAATCAATCATTCGTTATTGGAAAAAGACAAAAAAAAAATCCCGTTTTCGTCAAATCCCCTTCGAAATCGTCATTTAAATCAAAACGCCCCTTCATTTTTATTTTCGTGCTTATATTTCATCATTTTTATTATTATCATCATCATCATCATCATCATCATCATCGTAATAATCATCATCATTATTATTTTTTATATAAATATTGATTTTAAATGGCGATACATAATTATTATTCGTAAAAAAAAAAAAAAAAAATCGTTGAAATCGATAATTTTTTTTATTTATTCGTTTATATTTCTCGTCGGCAAAAATTTGATTAATTATTATTTGTTACTATTTATTTATTATTATTATTATTATTAATATTATTATTAATATTATTACTACTTACGTAATTTATTATCGAAAAGTGAAAACAACGGGGGAAAAAACAAGATGGATACCTTAAATAAAATAAAAAAAGGATAAAAAGGAATGTTAATAATAAGCGGAACAAATTCGGTTTAAAATTCCCGCCAAAATTAAAAAAAAAAAGATCCTAAATAAGATAACGGATAAAAATATCATAAGCTAAACGTAAATAATAAATCTCATAGATAAAATTTGCGGGTTTGCATTTCGACCACTACCGCGTCCACCACCGCCTTGTTGAAAAAAAATTTTTTTGACGGTTGAGTATTTCGAATGTTCCAGAACTTATGCAGTTAATATGAAAATTTCGTTGTGTTGTGCGTGTCGATGATTTTGATGTTCTTAATTTGGCTTTTTTTTTAGTTTTTTTTTGATTTTAAATTGTTTCCATTGAATTTTCTATTTATTAAAGTATTAATGAAATGTTTTTTAATTGATTTTCGATTAATTAAAGTGATAATCGGCGAAAAATATTATCTTTTGTCATTTCGGTTTTACAATTCATAATTTTTTTTTTTTTTTTTTTTTTAATTTGCTTACCAAAATTTCTGATTATAATTTTTAAGTTTAAAACTTTATTATTTTTATTTAATAACTTTTTTAATAATATATATTATTATATATATATATTATTACGTACATTATTTTAATAAATTTTTATTGTATTAATTAATAATATAATTCTAATTGAAATTGAAATAAATGACTTTAATGGTGACATTTATATTCTATTTTATTTTACCGGTTATTTTAAAGTGTAATGATTATGGATGAAGACATCGAGAGAAATCAGGTAAGATATATAAATTATAATTTTATTTTCGCCATAACTTTAAGTAATTTCATAAAAACGTTAATTTATTTTAAATTATTTTTTGAACGTTAATGAAAATGAAAAAAATTTTTTTTACATTTTGCACATAATTTGAATGCAATTTTAATGCGACATCTATCGGATGAAAAAAAAATATTAATGTTCGAGTGCAATTTTAATGCGACATCTATTGAATAAAAAAAAAATGTTTTACAAGGTCAATATATTCAATAATGGTAATCAAACGTTGTATATGTATTGATTTTTAGTGACATTTAACGAATAAAATTTAAACTAAAATGGCGTTTGAAGCCAAAGGAAAAAAAAAAAATAAGTATACGATTGTTGGTGATCAACACGATTGTAATTCAATACCGTAACAAAAAACAATTTTTTTTTTTTTTTTTTAAATTATTTTACAGACGTTAACAAAATTTTAATTATTATAATTATTATTATTATTTATAAAGCTAACAACCGTTACAAACGATAAGATAAAATTTTTCTTTTTTTTTTTTTTTTGTATTTTTTTTGCTTTGTAATCATTTTACAAATCTGGAGGCGGCGGGGGGGGAAACTGAAAATGCCATCTATTCAAATGAATAATTTTAGCTTCGTAACCGAAAAGAAAATAAGCGGCAACCAAGACGACAGCAATGCAAAGAATTACTTGAACGCATAATTCTCTATCCAATGATGAAGCGATTGCCTTGTTTGTTTCGACAAAATTTCTAACGGCTTCAACTCCAGCAGCCGTGCAAGCTCTTGCTAATCTTATGCTTAATTCGGTTACGTCATCCGCCGCGGACTCGTTGTTTGTTCTTGTTGTTGTTGTTGTCAATATTTGTTTCGTTGTTTGTTTTTCTTCTTCTTCTTCTTCGTCAGAACGTTTTGTTTTGGTTTGACGTCTTCGATAAGGTCTCCTTGGTTGTGAATAATTTTCATCATCGGAATCGTCAGGAGTTGCATATTCTTGTTGACGTCGCATAGGACGAACGGGAGGTGGAAGATGAGGAAGTTCTTGTACGAAAGACGATTGATTTTGTTGTTGTTGTTGTAGTTGTTCTTGTTCGTGATTTTGTCGTACCTTTTCCCAAGGTATTTTCGAAACGATTTGATCAATGAAACTATCCGGTAGTGATATATTACCCAATGAAATGTTACCACCGGTGTTGTCTATATCTTGAGATGCTAACCTATTACCTTGAAGTTCTTTGACAAATATTTGTCCGGCTTTAACTTCGTGAACGCTTATCGAACCAGCTTCTAATTCATCAACTTGAAGTTTTTCTAATTTTTTAGGTATTTCAATTGTTTGTTCGAATTGTTCTGGTTGCCGATGTTGTTGTTGTTGTTCGTGCGGTTGTTGTTCTTGTTCTTGTTGCGAATAAGTCGGAGCGTGATGATTTTTATGATTTTTTCTTTCTAACGATGCATAACCCATATCTACATCCACGTCTAAATAATTTTCTTTTTTATCAGATTCTGGTTTTTCCCTAGTGCTGCTTTCAGGTAGTGCATCATCTGCCATTTTGTTCTTTTCCGTGAGTAATCTTTTTTCTTCTTGTATTATATCTTCTATTTGTCGAATGACTTCAGCTTTTAGTTCTGCATCTATCATGTCGCCTTCGTTGTTTATACCTTTTTCTCTTAGTTCTTCTTCTTCTCTTTTCATTTCTTCTAAAAATTCCTGTTGAATTCTTAATTGTTCGTGACTGAATTCTTGAATTAAATCATCTTTATTATTATTATCATTAATATTTTCGTTTGAAAAATGTTCTTCGACGGAAGGAGTACTTTCTTGAGGTGGTAGCATCTCTTGAAAAATTTCTTTTTCAGGAGGTGGTTCATGTACGAAAACGGTAACTTCTCTTTCGATGGGAAATTCATCGTCTGCTAAAATCGACATTGATATCCTTTCTTCTTTTGTTTCGACATCAAATGAATCATCCGGACCTTTGCTTTTCTGTCGCGGTGGTCTAGGGGGAGGTGGTAAAGGACGTCCTTTCATTTTTTCAAAAACTTTTTCCGTTTGAAGATCTTTAACGCTTTCGGATACTTCGATTGGAAAAAGATCGGTTGATTCCGGTAATGGTTTCCTTTGTATTTCGGAGTACGTTCTAAATGACTCTTCTTCGGCCACGATTTGTTCTTTTTGTAATTTTTTATTTTTTCTAGGTGGTCTCGACGGTCCTAAAGTGCTATAATTTCTTAATGGTCTAACGGGGGTTTTCTTCGAATAAGTACTGTATATGGGTACGGAAAAATCTTTTTTCCTTTTTGGTGGTGGGGGCCTTTCGGGTTTTTTTTTCTTTTTCCGCCTTTGTGGTTTTATTATCGTAGGTTTTCCTATTGTCGCATAACCGAATCCGACGATATCCGATTCTACGTTTTCGATGATACTATTTTGTATCGGTTCTTCCGAAGACATCAACGGTAACACTCTCGAGCAAACAGTTTCCTCCGTTGGTTCTGTAATTTCAAATGAAATTTCATTTTCCAATTTTTCTAATCCAGTTTCGGATTGAAAACTGCAGCTAAATTCTTCTTCAGTGACGAATGATTTTAATGATCTTGAACCCGAGGATCGATTTCTTTTTGGCGGAATCGGAGATTCCAAATCAAACTTACGAAGAACTGCCTCATTCGATTCAATCACAATCTAAAATACAAACGTATAGGTTAAACAAACAAACAAACAAACGAATGATGCAAAAAAAAATTTTTTTGTTTGGTTTACCTGTTGAGGAGCTTGTTCTTCGTCGGCCATTTTAAATTTTTCTGACGCCCTATTAAACTTTTGTTTATTCTTCTTTTTCCGTGCCATTGGTACCGGTGGATTATCGATCGAATTATTTGCATTATACCAAACATCGGAAAATTTTTCGTTTAAAGAACAATTTTCCAAAGATGACTTTTCCGTTGCCAATGGACTATCGGTAACAATTTTATGAGATCTTGGTACTTTGTAGTATTCATATTCTTTAACCGGTCCTGGAGTTTTATAATAATCACTAACATCTTCTTCTTCTTCTCCTTCGTAATCGACGTTATCATATCTACTCATGTTAACATCTTCGTTATCGTAATCGCAGGACGTTTTTTTAACATTATCATCATCGTATTTCGTAGACAATTCGGAAACGACAGCTTCTTCATTTAATAATGATTTCGATTGAGATCTACTTTTTCTTCCGGGTCTCCTCGGCGGATAAGTTTTATAACCTTCTTCCGACAGCGACGGATCACTCTTATATACTTTTTTAAGAATCGATTTTTTTTTAGTCGAACCCGAACGCGTCGGTCTCATGGGTGGAAGTTGGTATTGCTCAGGATTTACGTTTTCATCATCCATGTAATCCATTTTGGCCAATGCGTTCATTCCGGGTGATTTAAATGCTTCTCGTATTTCGTGGGACAAATATTTACCCATGTCTATATCGTCTTGACTTATACCTTTTTGTCTTAGGAAGTATTCGTCGCTGTTGATTTCTTCCAAGACTCCTTTTTTCCTACCGTTAAACAAATCACTTTTGGTTATTTTTTCCAATTGATCGTCATCGTCTAAATATTCGATCTGTCGTTGGGATTCTCTGTCGTAATCCATCGTTTCATCATTCAATTCTCTTTCTTCGTAATCATTGATCGATTCGCTTTTTCTCGAATCGATTTCTCTAACGTCTTCTTTTTCCATATCGTCATCCGCGTATTTTAAATCATCGAGTTTTTTAATCCAACCTTCCGAACTTGTACTGGCGACTGGAACTTCGACATCTTTCATTCTCGGTGGTGGCGTTCTACCTCTCGTCTGTTTCGGTGATGACGTAGTATATTCGGCTGAATTTTTTCTAAATAGTTTCGGGTAGGTTTTGAAATCGAATTTACTACCCGATGATACCGATGGCGAATTCAAACTTCTCGTTCTTTTAAATTTTGGAATTTCTATCTGTGGTAAATTGGGTCGTTTAGGTAAGTGAAATTTACCCTTTTCCGGCAAGTGAAATTTTGCTTTTTCCGGTAGGTGAAATTTAGGTTTTTCAAAATGAAATTTACTCTTTTCCGGTAAACGAAATTTTGATTTGTCAGGCAAGTGAAATTTTCCTCTTTCCGGTAAATGAATTTTTTCAGACAGATTAAATTTGGGTCTTTCCGGTAAGTGAATTTTTTCAGACAGGTTAAATTTGGGTCTTTCCGGTAAATGAATTTTTTCAGACAAGTTTAGTTTCGGTCTTTCCGGTAAATGAATTTTTTCAGACAGATTAAATTTCGGTCTTTCCGGCAAGTGAATTTTTTCAGACAAGTTGAATTTGGGCCTTTCCGGTAAGTGAATTTTTTCCGACAGGTTGAATTTCGGTCTTTCCGGTAAATGAAATTTCGATTTGTCGGGTAAATGTATTCTCGAAGATTCCGGTATCCGAAATTTTGATTTGTCCGGTAAATGAAATTTGGCAGATTCGGGCATGTGAAATTTCGGTCTCTCCGGAAGTTTAAATTTTTTACGATCGGGGAAATTTATTTTAGGAACGTGCATTTCCGGTAAACGAAATTTACTTTTTTCTTCGTCTTGGGCAACGTTGTTTTCTTTATTCAAAGAAGGTCTTCGAATGTTTGAAAATTTCGTACGAATCATTCCGGCTTGATTACGTAATTTTTTCTGTATGTCTTGTGCTTGATGACGTATTTGTTCTCTTCTAGTTTTTTGTAAAACTCCGCCGTGTTTAGGCGGCGTGTCTTTTATTTCAACGTTTCCGGTTTTAACATCGACATTTTCAACGGAAATCGTCTTTTGAGGAACAATATCGGGAACATCTAATTTTTTAACGGTCGTCGTTTCTTCCATTTTCGGTTCGAGTAATATTTCATCCTGTTGTAATAAATTTTGAGGCGTGGCTGGAATTATTTCAATTTTAATATCACCTTCCAGATTTGATTCTTTCGATTTATTTATCGAATCGTTTGAAAAATTAACGTGACGTGTGGTTTCGTTAAGTGGAATGCTGGATTTCGAAGGTGATCCAATTTCTGCTGTTATCATATTTTCATTTTTATTCGTTGCTGCTGCTGTTGTTGTTGTTGTTGTCGTTGTTGCTGAATTATTTTCTTCTCCTGATTGCGGGGGCGGGTTGATGGGTTCGTAGACGTGTTCCCTGCAAAAAAAAAAAAAACAAATTTTATTTTAGAATCGTCTGCTGCAAATCGAGTCCGATGCACTTAATGGGTCGCAACAGAGAGGTCAAAAAAAAAAAATTAAAAAAAAAAGAAAAGTTGCGAAATGATATGACGACGACGTTCGTTCGTACGTTCGACGCGTTCACTTTTTCCGAGGTAATTTAAAAAAAAAAAAAAAATCCTGGCTTACGATCAAAATCCCTGTTGGATTTCGATTTTTCTAAAAACACATTGATTGGTCTGACACATGGGGATACGATTCGGGAGCGTTTATTTTTTCTTTTTTTTTATTAATGATAATAATAATGATGATAATTATTAAATTCTTACCCAAGTGATTTAATCATGTCTGAATTTCTTCTATTGTTTTGTGACTTACTACCGAATAATGAAATTCTTTCAGGTAGCAAACTATCCGTTTGAAAATATTGACAAGCGCATCGAACTTCTCGACCAATCGAAGACACGGAAGATTCTCTCGAACTTATTTTTTTATCTCTCGTTAAAGACGAAGATTTTTCTCTTCTCAAAGGTAAAGATTTTTCTCTTTCTCTAAAACCATCTAAATTTGGATTTTTATTATCCAAACTATCAGACGATCTTCCTCTTTTCAATTCTGTTTTCTTCATTTGATTTTCTTTTTTTTTTTTTTTTGTGTGTGTTATTCCCCCCGAAAAAAATTTTTTCCCACGGTTCCCGAAATTTTTTTTTTTTTTTTTACTCGAACGAAAGAAAAAAAAAAAAATATTTAAAAAATTTTTTCACAACACATTTTCATCATGACCATCATCCAACCTCGGATTTATTTACACCCCCCCGCGCTTTTTATTCTTCTGATGTTTGTTACCTACTGAATCGTATTGCACACCTTGCTCGTATATTCCCCCTACCCTACCCCCGCCCCTCCTCTCGTTTTTTTCTTTTTTATTTCAAAGGAGCCAACATTTTTTATTTAAGATGTCTCTCAAATTCAAATTAAAACACGCAACAAATAATAATAATAATGATACGTACGTACGATTTTTGTTTTTTTTTTTTTTTTTTTTTTACCGTTCTTTCGTTTCTTTTTGATATTTTAAAGACTAGTCAGGGATTGGTTGGAATTCATTCAAAAAATTTGAAATAATTTTTTCTTTGTTTCTTTTCGAATAAACCATCGAAAGATGACGAAAAATGACGAAAAAAAAATTTTTTATATTTTTTTTCTAAGCCTGCGCCTTTTGTGTCGCGAACGCGTTTTAAAAATTTGAATTTATTTATAAACTCTCCTTCTCGGTTCTTACATAATTTTGGAATTTCCCAACGAACAAACGAACGAAAATAATAATAATAATGATGATTCGTTTTTTTTTTTTTTAAATTAAATTTTACGTACATGTATTTTTTCCACGTTGCTTCATCGAATGGAGGTTTGTCCAGGTACGTCCATGGATATCCTCCTCTTTCTCTCAACCTTTTTAATTCTTCCCAAAGATATGTTTCCGGTGGTACCGGAGGATTGTATTCTTTAGGCGAAACACCTTAAAAAAAACCATAAAATCCGTTACGTAATACCAGACGATAAAAAATAATAAAAGATTTATTAAAAACGTTCCGCCATTTTTTTTTTTTTTTTTTTATTTATTAACCGTGAAGTAATACCTAATCGTAAAAATGAAATAGTAATAATAATTTTAACGATTCAAAATGGCGGATATTACTTACCTCTTATGTGAATATCATGCAATGATAATTGATCACCCGGTGATTGTCTTTCTCTCGATCTAGATCTTTCTGCAGCTTCTTCGTATGGTTTTTCAATTTTTTCATTTTCTTCCCATTTTATGTGACCTTTTGTTTTTTCCAAATACGTTTTAGATACTTTTGCAAATATGTTAGATAAAGTTTCATTATCGATTATTTCTATATTGTTATTATTATTATTATTATTATTATTATTATTATTTTCATTTTTCGTTTTGAATTCTCCTTCTACGTCTTCTTCCGCGCTCGTTTCCAATTCTACATCAACGTTTAAAGTCTTGTTATCGTCACACACTTGATTATAACCCGAATATAGTTTTTTACTGTCAAGCGTTGATGTTGATGCTGGTGGCGGTAGTGGTGGTAATGGCGGTGGTGGTCCTTCCGAAGAATTAGTTACCGAAATGTCTAAATCACTTGAATCGCTACTCAATTCTCGTCTTCGCACTATAAACGGTCTTTTGTGAACGTTATCACTCGATTTGAGTTTTTTTATCGGAAAATTACCAAATTCGTCACTTTCTTCCGATTCCCTTTCGATTCTATCCGTGTCATCGTCGTATTCTTCTTTGCCCCCCTCGTTTTCACCCACGTTTATACCCACAACCGTATCATCGTCCAAATCGGTTACCTGTACGATATCACCGATCAAATCGTCGCTCGTTTCACTGTCGTATAATCCGCTTAATCTAACGTTTGACCAATTATCATCACCAGACGACGACGTTATTCCCCTTTCGCACTCATCATTTTTTCTATTATCATTATCATCATTTTTATTATTGTTATCTTTTTGATAAGCTCCGCTGCTTTCACTTTCGTCGTCTTCTAATATACACGATAAACGTACGTTATAACTATCGTCGTCGGACACTTCAACGGGTTCTAAATTCGTCAATTGTTTTAATATTATTTCCCTCAAATTTTCATCGTCATCCTCGTCTTCCATTCCCTTATTATTATTATTATTATTATTATCACCCTCTTGATTATCCATTTTTAAAATAACCTATAATAATAAAACAAAATTCTAAATACTATTCACGTGAGAGAGAGAAAGAAATTAATTCGAGATGGAAAAAAAAAAAAAAAAAAAAAACACGTCTGACGCGTTACTTGCTAAACATGAAAGCGACAATTTTTTTTTTTTTTTTTTCTCTATAATTTAATCATACGTACGTAATGTTTAAGTTGGCTATCTTGTATGTGACGTCACTTGTTTAAATTTCATACGTCACGAGAAAATACAATTGAAAAAGAAAAGAAATCACGCGAACCTGAATAATAAATAAACTAAATAAAAAAAAAAAAAAAAAAAAACGATAAAACGTGACGAAGTAACAACAGGAAAAAATAATAATAATAACACTCGTATATTATAGTATTATTATTATTTTTTTTCATCCCGTCTCATTATTATTATTGTTATTATTATTTTTTACGCACTATTGAAACAACAACTGATAAACTGTTAATAAACTCGTTACATCATTTAACATAATGAAAAAAATTTCAAGGCTTACGTGAATGAAAATGAATGAATTTTTCAATCGATCGATATTTATTTTTTTTTTTTAAATATTCTAGAAAGAAAAAAACGAGTAACTGTTAACTCCCCTATATCCCTTCTCCACAACTTCACTCCCTTCCCCCCGCACAATCACTGACGACGACGTTTTTACGACAGGAAAAAAAAAAAAAATTTTTTTAAAGTTCGAATCGGTTAATTAAAAAGCAAGGACGGATTTTTTTTCTTATGAATAAATAATTTAAAAGTACAAAGCAAAGTTACAAGACCGTTAATTTAACACTGTACGTCTTTTCGAAAAGTTTTATTCTTTTTAAATTCGAATCAATCAGTTTTGCCAATCGTAAAGGAAAAAAAAAAAAAAAAAATTTTTTTTATTTTCTTTCAATGGTTGACTTTTTTTTTTTTTAATCGTTAATATTAATATTATTATTATTATTTTAATGAAATTCGACAGCAACGTTTACCGTTTTTTTTTTAATACGATTGTAGTAGTATAACGATTAATCGATTTTTTTTTTTTTTTATTATTAAAATTCAATCGATTAATCAAGCGAATCGTTTTTAATACGTTTCGAGATTTATCGATCCGTGAAATTTATTCGTTCGCATAAACTTTTTAAAAAAAAAAAAAAAAAAAAATTTTTTCCGAGTCACAATTAATTAAATTTTGTATATTTTTGATAAAACGAATTTTTTTCCCCTTCCCCCCAGTTTTTATGAAAAACCCGCGAAATTTAAATTTTCAAATTCTAAGAATTCGAAACGTTCGAAAATGACGATGATGGTGATGGTGATGATGACGACAGTAGAGTTTTGAAAAACAAATTTTTCCGAACGGAAAAACGAATTTTTTTTAAATAAATAACAAATATTAATTACTATTATGATAATAATAATGATAATAATGATAATAATATCTACCGAATTTAAATTTTTAAAAAATTTTCAAAAAAAAAAAAATTTTTCGCACGAACGTTTTTCTTTTTTGTACACAAATACTTTACGCGATTCACTGAATTTAAATAATAATAATAATAATAATAATGATAATAATAGAAAATCACACGATAACGCGTCGAACTCTCTCGAAATAAGGAAACAATAATACGTTTTTACAAACAAAACACACGAATTATTATTATTATTATTATTATTCTTTTTTCTTTTTCGTGCGAGATACGGAATCCCTGCCAAATATTTTTATTATTATTATTATTATTATTTTACTCTCTCGAATTCTAGAACACTCGGATTAACCAAAAAACAAAAAAAAAATTAGAAAAATTGTAAAAACAAAATGGCGGATTATATCGCGAATCGTGTCGGTCAATAGAAAAACGAAGAAGAAGAAGAAGAAAAAACCGTCGTTGAAAATCATCGATCGAATCGAACTGGGAAAGAGAAAAAAAAAAAACAAAAAAAAAATTTTTTTTTCTCTTTTCAAAACGTTCGTCGCGTTCGTTTTCGAGATATCGAACGGTTTTCTTTTTTTTTTTTTTTTCAATGATTATAAAATTACACAAAAATTTTTAAATTTTTAGCCAAGTTTTTTTTTTTTTTTTTTTTTTCTTTCGCTTTTTTTATTTTTTGAAAAGGAAGTCATCGTCGACGATGAAAAAAAAAAAAAAAAAAAAAAAAACAAAATGGCGACGATAGGAAAAATTTTTCCGCGCCAAATTTTTTATTTTTTTTTTATTTGCTCATTATTTAATTATTATTATTATTATTATTATTATTATTATTACCAGTTAAACTTTATTATTAACGATTTCAAAATTAGTCGTAAATTTAAAAAAAACGAACGTTTTTATTATCAGCGAACGGATTTAAATGAGAAAATAGTAATAATAATAATAATAATAATTTTAAATGAACGTACTATATATATATGAGCGAATTATTTTTCGATTATCGTAATAATTGGGTTAATCCGCCGTTTTAATTTATTTTCATTACTATTCGAGAACGTTCGACGTTCAAAAGACGTTCAAAAAATTAAATTTTTTTTTCTTATTTCCCATCATATTAATGATAGAACGCGTAAATATAAAAATTTTTCTCTTTTTTTTTTTTTTTTTTTTGCAACGAAATGAATTCCACAATTTCGTCAAGTTATTAATAACAATGTTTTTTTTTTTTTTTTTTAAATATCAATTTTATAAATATTATTATCATTGCCAAAATGATTTTTTTTTTTCTGGCATAAACACAACAACAACTTAAAATTTGAATCATCATTTTTTTTTTTTCTCTTATTTTTATTTTTAAATCATCTGATTTTCTTTTCTTTTTTTTTTTTATTTCACCGTTGTTAGTTTTTTTTTCTACGAAATATTTAGGATCCGGATTTGATAACGATTAATAATACAGCAGAAGAAATTAATGGACGACAACGAGAAGAAACTCATGGAAAAACTTATTTGTTATCAGTGAAACTATAACAACGAAAACAATGCAATTATCGACCTGTTATCATCATCTTATCAACGATTTACGGGAACTGCATGGATTAAGCACTACGAGAAAAATTGAATCTGTGGAAAAATTTGTTAAGAATCAGATTTAAATGGAAAAAAATCAAAGGAAAAGAATTTTCACCCGTCGTGGAAACTATTCGAGGATTTAAATTAGAAAAACGCATTTTCCTTTTTCATTTTTTTTATTTAAAATATTTGAGCAACAATTTAAATCAATTCAACCGTCATATTTATATATACATAATAAATATCACAAAATTTATTAATTGACATTATTTATGCGTATGTAAGTGAAATACCAAAACGACGACGAAACCCTGTTTAACAAATCACCTTTTGGAAAAGGAAAAAAGGAAAAAAATAAAGGAATCAAAGGAAAAACCAATCACTGCATCAAATAAATAATTGTTACTATCGTTCCGAAGAAAGCACTCAATATGAATATCCAATATTTGGACGCAAAGGACGGTTTTTCTTCCTCCACCATTTTCTTTTTCTGTTTTCCTTTTCTTCCCGTTCTGAATTTATTTTGAAACTTTTCATACTCGTTCAACGACCTCTTTTCTTCTTCTAATTTTCTCTTTTCCGTTTCGAGTTCTTTTTCCTTTTAAGTAAAAAAAAAAAAAAAAAAAAAAAAAAAAATTAAAAACTCATCATTTCCGGTAAAATCGCTAAAGATGGACTCACCCTTTTCTCTTGAATGCTTTTTATCAAACACGTTTCGTCGCAATCTAAAAATTCTTTTTTACAGGCTCTCGCCATGTCGCACGTGATTTCCTTTTTAACTTTTCCACATTTACATGATTTTTTGACTTTTTTACGACAGGAATCAGGATCGGGACAATCACCCACGTGACAATCTGATTTGCATTTGTGACCGCAGGGATACTGGAAATTTTCAAACGAAAAAACAATTTATTTTTTTTTAAATGACTGTTTTGTAAACGATATTTTTCTTATTTTTTTGTTTCTTCTTACGTTTTTCGGACATTTGTTCCCGCAGCTCAATAGCTTGTCCTTAACATCATCCTGAACGGAATTCAATTCTGAACATTTATTGATGAGCATTAAAACTCCGCAGTGACATTTGGATTTAATGTTTTGAGTACACGGAGGACACGGTCCCGAATGACACGGTTTGGGACATTTGTGACTACATCCGGGAGGTCTAACTTTTAAACATTCGGATTCGCATTCCAAACAGCTTTCGTCGGCCTGATAAACAAAGAAAATAAAAATGTGTAAAAAAAACGTTGTTGTTGTTATTATTATTATTTATAAATTTATGAGAGCCTTACGAAAAATGAATCTCCCGCTCCGCTTACGACGTGACACGGCTTTTGGCAAGTGTGATTTGTACACTTGAGTAAACGTCCGCACGGTCGATGACAAGAAGATGGTTTGGCTTTGTAACAGGGCCAATCGCAAGTTTCGTGACCGCCTAAACACGTCACGGAAACTGGAGCTTGACAATCTGGACACGGCAATTTGCATTTTTTTTGCTTTGGCTCGGATATTTCCCAAGGACCTGATACGAAGATATCATAACCCTTATCATCGTTATCAATGATAAATTATCATCATCATGGTAACAATCAACCAACCTGCCGGACGATGGTTGTCTTCGATTTTCACCCAAACGGCAGAATGACAAGGAGCGGGACATAAATGATCGCAATTACTCCTCGTTTTGTTACATATTTGTTTACAGGGTGGACATTCTCCGAAGTGACAACTGTGGGGTTCCCGTGACGGATGATGACAAGTCGGAGGAATTCTAAAAAAAAAAAAAATGTTAATGAATCGTTTAAAAAAAAATAAAAAAATTTAAGAAAAGAAAATTGTAATTAAAAAAAAAAAAAAACTCACGAGCATTTTTTATTGCATTTGGGCGGACATGTTTTTTTTTGACGACCGCAGGGAACTGTTATCGATGTTTTTCCACATCTACATTTAACATGTGCAACTTCGGGGCAAGGATAACATTGACCCTTGTGACAAACCAATGGACATTTATGATAACCGCATTTCAAGGTTTTCCCACACGGCTTTTCACACGGCAAACAATTCATGTCGCAACACTATTTTAAATAAATAATAATAATAATTATTATTAATTGAAATAATTAACGAAATGCAAATAGAAAAAAAAAGGATTCAACCTTTCTGTTGCAAGCATGTTTTAAACAATTTTTTATTCTTTTGCATTTCGTTTCGCAAGTGAAACTTTTTTGACACGGAAGTTCTTTTTTGTGCAAACCGCATCTGCATTGTTTTTTTTCTATGACCAAACACTGAAAAAAAAATTTATTTATTATTTTATATAAATATTTGAGAATTATATTTAAAAAGGATAAAATGAAAGCTACCATTCCACATTTGTCTTTGTGACATTTTTGAGGGCATTTGTGAATGCCGCAATCTAATATCTTGTCACACGTTTCGTTACATGTGGGTACGTCAACGGTGCAGGGTAGCAAATGATTTGTTTTCCCACAAGGACACGTTCTTTCTAAAGATGAAGGACAACAACCGCAAGGACCGGAATGACACCGAATCAAACACTTATGAAAACCGCAGGATAAAGGTTTTCCGCACACCTGAAGTCATTAAAACGCTATTATTATAATTAACGTGACAGAAAAAGATTTATAATAAGAATTAATATAATACCTTCTCGCATTGCCAATTGGGAGTCAGGCAAGGTTGCTTTCTTTCCTGTAAACCGCATTGACATTTTTGAGAGCTTTCTCTGTTGCATGGAGGACAGTCTCCAGAGTGACATATTTGATCACAGTTGTGCTTTTTGCATAAAAGTGGTTTACTGCATTTAGAATTGCAAGACCAAAGTTTATTACTACACCTGGAATGCTTAGGACCTTTTTTACCACAGTGACATTTCGCCTGTACAGTCTTTGGACATGGCGGACAAGGACCTTTAAATATAACATCAAATTATTCAAAAAAAATTTTTTTTTAAAAACTATATAAGTTGGGGAGTAATATGTAAACATACCTGGATGACAAAGTAAAAGACAGGAATGACCACATTCAGGTTTTAATTTTTTACCACAAGTTTCTCCACACGAATGAGGAATAAGCCAAGGATGAAATTCTGGATCTTCAACTTTACCGCAGAAGCAATAACTTTTTTGAGGAACACTTTCAGGTTTATAATCATGCCTGCATTTGGGACTGTAAAAAATCAAATTCGATTCATTCAAAATGAATAATTTTATCATAATATGCTTGAAATTGGAGAGAAAAAAAAAAAAAACCAACCAAGCCCATAAAATTTGAGTTTTACGAAAAGCTGGCAAATCTTCCTGTGTGAGTTTTTGCTGATGTATGCTATCGTTTGCCCATTTAACAATGCAAATCAAATGAAAACAACTATAACATTCTAAACAATTCCAAATCTGAAAACAGAAATATATTTTGCAGTTGTTCCTGAAATTAATATTCACATAAAAAACAAGATGGAAAAACAAAAAAAACATACAGTATCAGCTCTCTTAATGCTACCGATACAAATCAAGCATATTCCAGCACCTGATTGAAAAGCATTTTCTAAAAATTGTTGTGTCCTTTCAACTCCTTCATGTTTATCATTGAATTGATCATAATTTTTAAAAACAGAAGATAAAATTGATTCGGATTCAAGAGGTTCTTCATCTGAAGAAGACTCATATTCTTGTTGTTCCAGATGTTTGTTCACAGATGCTTGAAGTTTTTCTTGTGCATTTTTAAATTTTATCTCAGCTGTATTTTTATTATTAGCTACGGAATTTTTATTTTTCCACGGATTTTGACTTTTATTCCAAACATTTTTATCCCCATTCATGATCGATTCAAGTATTTTGTCTTTAGTAGTAGTAGTAGCAGTAGTAAAGATATAACGTGTATATTTATTGACTTAACCTTACTTTGACTGAAAATGTTACAAATCGTAAAAATGAAAAAAATAATTTTTAAAATCAATTGATATTTTTTATCCTTTTTAACGATTATTATTATTATTTTATATATATTTAAAATTTAAAAAAAAAAAAAAAAATTCAGTCTACATTTTTTTTTTTTTTTTTTTTTTTTAAATTAGCAAAAATACTCATCAAGTTTTTAAATAAAAAAAAAAAAAAAAAAAAAAAAAAAATTAAAAATAAAATAAATTGGCAAGGGGAAACATATTGAAAAGGGAAATTTGTCGACAAAACTTTAAGCGGTTTTTTTTTTTGTATTATTATTTATTTTTATAGGAGGCTTTTTTATTAAGTTTATATTTTTTTATTATTATTTAAAATTATATCGTTTTAATTTTGATTTCGTGTTTTATTTCGAAAAGTTTTTCCGGTTATTTATTTATTTATTTTTTTATAAAATGTACATTCGGGTAAATTTATTCGGTTTGTTTTAATTTTTATGTCGACCGACGTTATTCGAACGTTTACGTTGGAATAACAACGCATTAAGGTTAGTGTCGAATTTTTCCACATAAAATTATTTTTATTTTAAATGAAATATAAAATTTTCCTGATGTTTTCCTCAATGTAAAAACCGTTACTACGAGTTTTCCATTTATCAGATTATAAACTTTCACGTTTGATATAAGAAAAAAGGAAAAAAAAATTTGTGCATGCGGTCCCCCGACTTCATGCATTTCTATAATTTTTCCTTTGTTAAAAAAAAAAACTAAAAAAAAAAAAATAAATAATAAAACAAAGAAAAAATTAAAGAGTTATAAATAATGCAAGAAATCGTATTTTTGTTGCAGAATTTTTTTTGCGGAAGAAAAACATTAATAATAATAATAATAATTATTATTATTAATGAAAATTTTACAACTTTTGGGTATCATCGGCCGCCGCCGACTCATTGTCGCCGCTTTCAAAATGCAAACTGAACTGATTCAAAGCCTGCGGTAAATCAGGGGGTGAGTTTTTTTTTTCTTTTTTTTCTTTTTTATATCTCCGGAGGGGTCGAAACGAAAGATTAAAAAAAAAAAAAAAATCTTTAGAATTTATTTTTTGAAAATTAAACAAAAAAAAAAAAAAAGAAGAAGAAGAAGAAAGAGAAAAGAATAATGAAATTGAAGAAGAAAAGGAAAGGAAAAGAATTAGAATTGAGAATTCATAAACCACCGGTGATGTTGTTACCACACCACGTTTTTTTTTTTTTTTTTTTTTTTTTTTTCATTTATAAAAAAATACTCGAATCCCGAATAAGTACATCTGTGTCTGTCCGCGTATTTTTTTTTTTACTTTCTACCTCTTCCCCTCCCTCCCCATTTTAAAAATTTTCCACCGCCTTCTCTTCGCTTTCCCTCCTCTCCCCACCCCCCGCGTAATAAAACTTCTAAATCAGTATTCATATTTAATGTTCATTTAGAATTCGAAAAGCATACTTTTTTCTTTTTCTTTTTCTTCTTATCTAAAATTCTTTAACTTGAAAAAAAAAAGTATCTTGATTAAAAAGGAAGAAGAAAAAGAAAAAAAATCTTTTTTTTGGGGGGATGGGAGGGAGGAGGGAGGGGTGCAGACGGCGGGGAGGTTTTCTTTTTTTTTAAAAAAAAAAACACCTCGAGGGAAATTTTTTTTTTTTTTTTTCTTATTCGTTCGGCGATCTGAGATTTTTTTTCGAAAAAATATTTCTTACGTAAAATAATTTATTTCCGGCGCTAACTACATACCGGAAGTAACGGGGTGGGGGTTTTAATAAAAACCGGAAGTTCTGCTTTACGTTAATGAAAAAAAAACAAAAAATGATTCGTCGACGATGACCGAAAAAAAAAGGAAATTTTTTTATGATAAAATTTTTATATTTTTTTTTTTTTTAATACCACCCCCTTCTTTCTTAATCAACCCTGTCGCCACCACCACCACCACCGTCTTCTTTTACAGAGGTGAGTGCCAAAGAATTTTTTTCCCTTATAACTTCTGACTTTTTTTTTTTTTTTCGCCTTCTTAATAAAGGCAATCAATCAATCGACCCTTCATTTTATTTTTATTTTTTTTATTCTTTTCTCTTTCTCTCTCTCTCTCTCTTTCCTATCTTCGACACCATTTACTTCTTTTTTTTTTCAACTTCAACTTCAACTTTCCCAATATTCTTTTTTTCTTTTTTTTTTTTTTCTTTATTCATTTTTCCGACTTTAAAATCTTATTATTATTCTTGATGCGTATTATGACCCTTACATTAAACCTATTCTTTTATCGCAAGTGATTTATTTTAAAATTATTGCTTCCTTTCTTTGCATTTCTCCTTTTTTTTTTTTTTCTTTTCATTTTTTTAGAGGAAGAGAAGTGGGGGGAAAAGGGAAAGCGTAGGGAATGAGAGGGGAGAGGTAGGGAGTGAGGCGTAAAGAAAATAGTTTAATAAATGAACAACTAATGGGTAAAGTTAAAAAAAAAAAAAACGACTACGTACGACTACGACATCTTCTCTTCTTCTCTTTTTTTTTTTACAAAAAAAAAAAAAAAAGAAATTAAAAATCAGAAAGAGAGAGAGAGAGACTAAATTCAAAAAAAAAAAAAAAAAAAGAATTGTTATTAATAAATCTAAAATTAAAGTCCTTTTTTTCTCCTTTTTTTTTTTCTTTTCTTTTCTTTTTCATTTTTTTCTTCTTTTTCTGGTTATTATTATTAAGAAAAAAAAAATATAATAATAATAATAATAATAATTTTTTTATGTTCTATTGTCTCCGTTTTTTTTTTAAAATAAATTTTCTTTATAAAAAAAAAAAAAAAAAATGGCTCGAAAAAAAAGGGAAAAAAAAGAAAAAAAAATTTTAACACTAAATCATTTGAAACATTTGAAATTGAAAGTAAAAAAAAAATAAAAAAATGAAATTTTTTAAAATTAATATCCTCCATTATTATTATTATTATTATTATTATTATTTATTATAAGAAAAATTAATCAGTTCAATTTGCAAAATATGTTTTTTTTTTTCGTTAATTTTTGTTAATTTTACGCGCGAAAAATATTCGATTTAAAATTTTTCAAATATAAAATCGATTTGAAAAATTTTTTTTTTTTTTTTGGTTTATAACGAAACGATTACGAGAAAATAGATCGATAAAATAATAATAATAATAATAATTACAATAATGTTTTATTTTTATTTTAAATTTTCAAATCGTTTCGTTATAAAATAAAACAATAAGAAACAGCCATTAATTTTTTCAAGGGGGAACTTAATATCTAAAAAAAAAAAAAATTTTTTTTTTAAAAGTAAAAAAAGAGCTCACGGAAAAAATTCAATTTGAAAAAAAAATTTAGTGCGGTCGTGCGCGGACGCGAGTTAAATGGTTAAAGATAATTTCGAAATTTAAGGGTGGTAAAGAGCAATAAACTTTTTCGGGGATTTCACGGGGAGGGGGTTTCGGTTACCGACGATTTATTTCTATAATTAATCAGATAAACGTTAGCAAATGGTTTTACAACCCCCCCCCCCGCTTCCTCCGCCTCCTCCTTCTTCGTAAGATTAATTCCTTTCGGTTTTCGATCACGAAGCG